AGTGGTCCGTCACGACTTGAATGAAATGTAAAAAACACACACATATAATAATAATATTATTAGGTATATATCTATACGTATTATATGTAGGTATTATAGGTACGTAGAATAGTATTTAAACGTACCTATATAATATTATATTATATAGTGGTCCTTAACATATATTATATCTATACCTACTGTTACTAGCGCACTTATACATTGCGTAAAACTGCACAAGTGCAAATAATTATTAAAGTATATTATCGAGTCCGATTATTTAATGATTATTATCGAATGTGTTATGTATCGATTTATACATTCTATTATTACACGCACGCCATAATAATGTTTGTCCATTTTAACGACCGGAGTAGATTTTTGCTGCGTATAAAACCGATTTGATTCACCTAGCTGCTCATCCAGTTTTTTTTTATCGACAAAGCATTTATTCTAAATCTGATTTTCAGAATTTTTAAATGTACCCACTTCAAGAACATATTTGCATATGCTCAGAATTTTGTGTACTACTCAAAGAGTGTCCTGCGGAGATACAAGCTTATGATTTTTTTTCCAATTGAAATCCGATTTTCTTCTGTAAATTATTAACTAGTGGATAATTTTTCTGAAAATGTTAAATTTTGACATATGAAAATCAAAATTCAAACTAGTATAGTTTTTGAGTTATTTAACTTTGTGTACTAAGGATAATGGATCCACGATAATGGGTTTGGGAGATATCTTATTTTATTTTTATTTTTATTTATTCTTCAAGAAGATAATGGGCCCCACTGAACATGTTCGTGTGGGGGCTCAACGATATGAAGACATTAATATGGTAAATTGAAAATTGTAGTAATATATTATATTAATCCATCAACATTTATAATTTGTAAATATCGTCCAAGTATAATAAACACTATAGATAAAATATTAGGTAGGTACATCAATTTTATATTTTTGTAGAATCGTTTTTAAGGACCTATTACTATCATAATCTTTATTCTTTAATAAACATTCATCTGAAAAACTACTAGGTAGTTCAAGTTTTAAATCACAATTAAAATTGTAATCATAATTTTTAAAAAATTTAACCACTAAATAATTTACAGTAAATAAAGGAGGATTTCATTAGAAAAACATAAGTTTGTATAACACCACAGATCACTCACTGAGGTAGAAAAAACCTCAAGAATTTGAAAATATGGTTTAAGTAGGTATATTTAAAGAATCCAAAATGAAAAAAACTAAAGTAAGCACACTTGGTGAATCATTCTTTGTATTATATATAATATATAATACAATAGATATTATATTGCATGCGTATTTATTCTCTTTTCTTTAAGTAAAACGAAGCGGAAAAACATATTATAATACTATATACTTTTTAAATATATTTAAATGTTCCAATTATCTACTATGCTTTTGTGGTACAAAATTATATTATACCTTTTATTATATTACCTAATCTAATTGTTGTTTGTTATATATATAATGTAAAATTATAGATTGGCTGAAAGTACTATTAAAAAAATTGTTTTCGTCCTGAAAAAAAAATATATCATACGTATAGTAATAATAAAATATATCAGACGTATGATAACAATAATAGAAATACGTTATATTTAATTATTAATTATGCATACAATTATGTATATTTAAATGAAATTAATAGATGAGACATTTAAGAAACAATAGATTTCTCAAATCAGTGATTAGAAGTTTAAACGGTATTGAATTATTATACAATTAACTTTAAATTACAATTTCACGCATTTGAATATATAAAATATATATTATTGAACGCTTTAAAAATGAAGTAATTAAATCCAATTATGTTATGTTGCAGTAATGGGAGTAATTATATAATATTTAATCAATGCCCCCAACAATAGTAGAATATTGTATAAAGTTAAAAGTATATATTATAGTTGTAATAAATAATAATCAGAATAATTTTTTAACCCGGATTAGATTTGATGCATTATATTAAATATAATAATATGTTACAATGTCGTAATAAATGTCACATGAAAGTCTTGAAGCATGAGTTTTACTTAAAATCGTAGTCATAATATATACTATTGGTTTAATCTATATATATAAAACTGAAATCTGGCAAAAGAGGAAATCTTTGTTACGGTATGGCTTCGAAACTTCTTATCCAATTGTCATGCAATTTTTTTTTAAATGAAAGAAGATATCACGGAGCCGGTTTTAGGCATAAATAAAGTCCGATAATGTTATTCAATAATTAGTTATTTATACATATTATAAAATCCAAATACCACTGACTCACTGATCGCTGTATCTCAAAAACTACTCAACGTACGGACTTGAAATTTGGAATAGAGGTTCTTCTCATATTTTCACCGTGCAATAAGAAAGGATTTGCCGAAATTCGCATTTTAAATAGGTGCTCAAACAGGGACATTGAGATTCACGATGGAAATTGGAAATTTTATTTTTATTTATTAATAGTTGCCATTGGTTACAGTCTACAGTAGAAATTAGCATTTATTTATTGGTTGCCATTGGTTATTCAGACAGATCAGGCACAAGCTTGCATCAAATCAAATTATTGAACATTGCCTACCAGGGTGGCTGAGTTTCACTTACCTCAGCAAGTTACACCCAAAAGGAGTTCAACAATCATAATTTTTTTAAGAGTTTTACGAGCAACCAAATTTGTTATATTAATCCACCGTATTATATCAAAATAAACTTGGTATAACTTTGATACTTTAGAGTTAAATCATACACTTCCGTACAAACAGCACGGGGTCCGCGATCTACCGCAGGTAGATTGCCTACCTGATAATGTACTGCTGCGATTCAGAATTTTTATTCCGGGCAACGGAAAAGATAAGATAAATTTTGAACACCATACACCGAATATTGAATAACGAATTGAACAAAGTTTGAGTCATATTGAGTTGATACATTTAACGGGCGACGAAGTGCACGGGATCAGCTAGTATTATATATTATTAATAAAAAAACACAACAATTTAAAAATGACTTTGATAAATTTCTAGCTTTGTTCCATCTTAAAAGTAGATTCAATCTTTTTACATATTTTATTATATTTAAGCACCAATGTAATGAACAGATTAACACATGAATCACTTTAACATTTTAAGTATAAAAGGGTTATCATTTTTTTCTGTAAATTTCACAAAACCACTTGTTGAAATTCACGACGCTATGCTTAAAAGTATAATATACTTATTTTGGAAGTACCTATTCACTTATTGGTGAATGACGATATCAAATTACATAATTGGAAATGCATACACTTCATGGGTTTAAATTGAACTTGTCAATACACCTACGTGTGTAGTGTGTACATTTTAGCTATTCAATAGTCTACGTAAACAAGTATATAGTTATGTACTTACTTGTGAACACGAATAATATGAAAAAATTTTTTGTTAATAGGTAATGTTACTATAGTAACTATTACTACACACATACGTTTATATTATATTGTATACATTTTGCAGTCGGTATAATATTACAGTTGAAATATTTCTTTGATCACATATTTTTGATTTATCTATTATTCTTTATATACTTTGTATATTATTACTTTATATACTTTATCATTATATTAATAATTATTATAGTGTTGTTAGTGACATTTTAATTAGATAATATAAAAAATCGTATAATCATAAAATCACTATTCACGACCTTTAATTTCGAGATGCAAGTTCAAGCCTAATTATTGAACATCGTTATTAATTATTTATATAACTTTAAAATACAATTATTTTTATATTATTTTACTTCTAAGTTCTAGGAATATAATGGAAGTCGTTATTATTTTATAGTCATTTTTATTCTCTTAGCCGTTTCCTAAAAATCATCGATAATACGCATGAGAAATCTTCCTTAAATTCATTTCTCATGGTTTACTCCACGAACGTCGTCAAATATTTTATTTCCGTTGACCACAAAACCAATCAGTTTATTCTGTATTTCCATCCGTACAAAATGTAATCCAATGCATCAACCCGTACGAAACGGATTTAGGTACTTTACTTTCAGTATCGTTATAATTTGCGTAGTATTATTATAATGGAGCGTTTTTAATTTATCACGTTTTCTAGCATAGAAACTGGATAAAAAATTAATTACAGCTAATATTACAGTTGCAGTGATCAAAACTTAATGTATTTTGTCTGCTACTCCGCTCTTCCGAGTCTGCAGTTAATAGTGGTCAGCGAGGAACTTTTGGACTATAGGGCAATAACAGTGGTGTATCTGATTGTGCTGTGCCCTTCCAAGGCTTCAATTTAAAAATGCTTTCAGTGTACTGTGATTTATCAAGCAAATTGTTATTTGTTCGATGGTTGCTGCTAAGGTCTAAAATATTATATAGCCACGGCAACGGCATATCAAACGTAGGTATAGGAGGGATTCTAGTTCCCCTATACAACAAATTATCCCCAATATAACAAACTAACAGCCCCTTCCAAAAGCCAAATCCTTGCAATGCCACTGGATCACAGCAGCACAGGACTGTATGTATGGGTGGCTAAGCAAATGTTTATGACATTTTTAGACATTTTTTGAGACCACATTTGATATAGAAAATATTCAAAACGATTTCATTTCAAAATGTACTCAGAAAATAGTCCAACTTTCTATGAACGAAATAAAACAAAACAAAAAATGTGTCTGCTTAAAGCCAAAGGGTGGTTTAGCTATGGATTATAATATCGTTTCGGTATAAGATGATATCTGAAATAGGTTGGTACATAATAATAATATAGGGGTGAAACTGTGAGTTTCTATTTAAGTACTTTAATCGTTAAGGGACGTATACTTTAGTATAGCAAGTCCACCCCCGACACAGCAGTGATACTTATAAATTATAATATTATTATGTAATAGATCGTCAACAAATTTCAAAATATTGTACTTTTGAGGTATATGATTCCACGAGCATGTTTTTTATTTTTATAATAATAGTAAGTATATATTATATTATAGACATATAGGTAGGTACCCACCAGAGAGCACGCTATGCAACACAGGGCCAATAGTTGCACGCCCAAAACCAACGCTGTATCGTCGTCCATTATAATGTTTTGATGTAATAATATTATATATTATATATAATTATTTGATTATTGATTATACTATAATATGTCCACGTACAACAGATTCACACACACACACATACACATACACTAGTATTCAAAATACCTCACATATTATTATAAATAGGTCGAGTTGAGTTAAGGTAAAAAATAAAAATAAAAATACGAAGAAACTCCGTTTTTCACCCGACCACCGTCGGCGACACACTATAATAACAAATAATAATAATAATAATATAAACGAATATTATTATACACGAACACACGACCGCGCAGGACGAGGTACGATACGCGCACTGCGCCTGGTCCGGGGACGTGTTTTTACGCGTTTTGTTTGCCGCCGCCGCCGCCGCAATAGAATGTGCTGCAGCAGTCGTGCGCGGGAGATGAAGATTTCCGATTGTCATCGGCCGTATCCGATTTCGTACGTGTCCGATTGGCCAGTCACATAGAAAGCGGTGGCGGCGGACGAGCTCGAGTGTGCCTTTTAGACGTAGGCCGCAGTTTTTTTTTTTTGTTTTTATTCTTTCCGTCCACGTCCGTTCCCTTTAAAAAATTTTAATTAAAAACTAAACGTTTCGAAGAGAGAAAAAAATGAAGCTATATAATAGCTAGGTACCACACGTAACGATATAAATTGAAAGGAAAAAACAACACTATGCGCATATTCTGTATAATGGATATATATATATATTATAATAATTAAAAGTATATAAACATAAGCTTAAAAAAAAAACAGAGGTGTGGAAGGATGAAATCTTGGACAGCCGCCGAAGACTTTTGACCCACTTATTTTGTTATATGACACCTATATAAGTGTCATATTCGCTATTATTGTAATATCATGTCTCGAAAAATACACTTCACCCCAGATAACGAGTGTAAAAGGTGCAGAGTAAAAAAGAAAAACCCGTAGTTAATAAAGATGTGACTTAACATTTAAGAATTAATTAGTTTAGAAATCACAAGAACTTATTTTCCTACTTCTGACATGGATTATTATTTTAATAGTATTTACACTTTTGGGTAGATAACTCATTATTGATTAAATTTTTTACTGATTTTCTGATTGGTTGTCGTAGATGAATGACAATTTTTTTAATTATTGTTACCGACAATTATATTGGAAATGGAACTGCAGTACTTGATATCAACATATTATATTTTATGGTTACGTTTTTGATTTTACTTAGTGCCTCTATGTACTAAGCTGCAGTGAAGTGTTTTTCTCCAGACATAACATAATATCTTTATTAGTCATCAAAATAGTGAATCACTTAGCAGAAACTAAAGCTATCACTTTTTAGTTATTCGTTATTGACTGATATAATAGTTAATCGTGTTATTCAATGTGCCCACTAATTCACTCATGGATGTAACGATAAACAGAACCTATTCGAATAATTGACGAATAAACAATTTATAGTGAACACACTATCAAATATGGTTGTAAATTGTAATACGTCCCGGTTTTGAATATGAAGTCCCGATAAAGTACCTATTTCGGGATCACCAATAATTCTTGTCACTGAATCAAACTTTAATAATTTATGTTAACTATAAATTGTATTACTCTAACTCAACACTTATACTTGAAAAACAATACTGTTTTGATAAATGATATAACAATCAAGATAATTATTTGATTGATTGACGAAATCTATTTTGAAATTACTTTCCTGGCTTTGTGACCACAATTATTATTGATAAACGTATTCGTTGTTATCCTGTTCCCCCACGACAATATGTTGTTGTTACTATATTCACGCTAACTATTGACGCTAACTGATAATTTCGTAGGTTACCTACTCATTAGTCATTCCGATTTGTAACGTTGAGTTAATTTTTACCTAAAACACGCGTACGGAGCAAAGCAGTGGTTTTCAGCCTTTTTATATCCACTTACATGACCATAACATGTTCATGTATCACTTAACCAAATAACCTTTTTTTTTGCTCATCAAAAATGTATACATTATTTTACATAATATTATACTGAAATCACAATAAGAAAATTAAATACCTAATAAAATGTACAATTTTTATTTATATAATATAAATTATAAACCAATTAATATTTAATGTGAATAATGATCCATTCCATTTTTATTATAAAGCGAGATTACCTTACTACCCAAAAGCTTTCTGAGTACCACAGGTTAAAAAACGCTGTCGTAGAGTGCTTACTGTATTGTGTGAGGGATATTCTTTAGTTACGAAAAATATTGAATGAAACAGCCGGTGGCTTACCGCGGAGGAGTAGTATTATTTTTTACCGGAAAAATTATACAAAACATGTTTGTCCCGGCTTATACAATTAAAATATGGCAACCCTATATAATATCAAATAATATATTAGTCATATTATTATTTATGATATACCAGACATATTATTATAAGATATACATACTACATATCTACATAATATCTCACACGAATTTTGTCTCCTTTTGCTGGTAAATTCTTCCAAATTTAAGTCAACCTTCGTCACTTGCCTCGCGCCATCACAGACTATTTCAGCTGCCAGCACGATAGCAGAGTGAAAACGGCTGAATCACGTTTTATACGGATATAATGATTTTCAACAATATATTTTACCATACATCATCTACTTCACATATAACCAGTCTCTATTCAGATATTAAACAAATTGTTACATTATTAAATTATAGGCACTGTGCATCTAAACGTAAAGCATACACGAATAAATCTATTCATTATTATAAGTTACTATAAACTTTACGTAAATTGTAATTTGTGTATTCTGGTTAGTGTATACAAGGTGTAACAGAAATACCTGACAAATAAAGAAGAAAGATGTATACTACTTAAACATATGACAAAAATTATAAAAATTATATGAATAGTAAATATTCTTATGTCAGGAAATTCCCAAAGAGAACATTTTAAATAAAGTTATTGTTTAAAATTAGCTTACTCCAAAAGAATATCGATACATAATATAATTTTAAAATTTCAAAAAAATTAACTACTTGATATAAATATACGTTTTTACCAAACAAATTTGTTCAAAAATTAAATAAGCAATTTTAAATTTTTCCAGAAAATAAATGTATAAAGTTTAGTTTTGGATTTTCGGTATTGAAAAAAAATTTTACATTCTATTTGTTGTAGACCAAGATTTTAAGACCTAAAAAAAATTTAAATGTTTAAATATTGTTTGGTTCTAAACTTCAAAAGTTATTTAATTTCTCAGGTCTTTCTGTTACACTCTGTACATACAGTGCGCTCTACTATTTCGAATTTATTAGCTTCGCGACACCAATACATATTATTTAACTATTATTATAGCTGTGTCGCTGGATAATATTATGTATCTATTACACGCACGTATTGTGTTATGATAAACAATAACGATCGTTAGTTTAAAAGATGTCAGTATAGAGGATAAACAATAATCGTATTGAAAAAAGAATAAATTGCAGCTTTGGCCATAATATAGTGTACCATATAATATGTGTAGGTACCTATACGTATATATAGCGTTTTTTGGACCTAAATAATAATTTGCGGTACACAAAATAATAATATACTACATACCTATAATATTATAATAGATGATTATACATTAGGTATACATCGTACGAGCATTTTTCTTAAACTACTAGAACGGAACGTGTGCGACGCTTTTATTACCTATATTTTATACATACATACCTTCATACATCCAATTTTGTATACACTATAATATGCATAGTGTAATACCTATACAACTTGTATAATATTATTATGTATATCATCGATCGATGTGTCATTGGTGTCATCATACGCTGTAGGCTTTACACCGCTATTGGTATAATATATCAGGATACCACGCCTAGCTGTAATGATATTTTCATGCACTGTTATAACTTATATTTGTAAATTGTCAATAATAATATAAACGTTTTAGCAAAAATTCGGTTGACGGATAATACGCAAAGTATATAATATTATAAGTATATATTATTAACAATACGGCTTTTTCGATTAAATATTTTTTTATAAAAATATCTAGTCGATGGGAATTTTTTTTTACCGTCTCAAAAACCACTATAACTACTATGATATTTTATATTATACTACACAGTACAGACCACGAACTCCTGCATTCACTTCATGCTATGCGGACAGTAATTTATACACACCATATTATTTTATAAAACGAATAGTAGGTATGTATAGTTATTAGTAAGAATTATACACTTTAGCAAAATATTAAATAATTTATTAATATAGGCCAGCCCAATGAAGCGAATGTGCTGATACCGCACAACATAAATTATTATTTGACCATATTGTAATAAAACGCATCCGTTACGATGCGCATAGTATAGTGGAATATCTCTTTTGTCATGGTGTCGCGGTAGGAGTGTGAATGACATCATACCAAGCCTGGGCAAGTTAATAATAATTTTTAATTGAGTTAAGTTAAGTTGATAAAAAATATTTTTAAAAGTTTATGGTTAATACCAAATTATATGAATTTTTTTAACTCAGTTATGTTAATAGTTGTATGGAAACTTACAATTAACTTAATCATTTTAGTAACTTTATTTTTTTTTTTTATTATTATTTATAAATAGCCAGTAATATGGTTTAAAATAATAAAAAGTAAATTTTTATGCAACATGTATCATCAATAATTATGGTTGTATTATATTTATTATTAAATTATTTATAAATTATCCTATAACTTGGATTTGATTAAAAGTAACTCGTTATTTATTAAGTTTATATCAATAAAAATCAGTTAAGTTTATTAAGTTAAAAAAATTATATTTTTAAAAGTGAAGTTAAAATGTTGAAATTAACTTTTTAACTCGTTTATGCCCAGGCTTGCATCATACGAGTGTTGGCCGACGATCGGGACTTCAGACCAGTATATTATTATTATTTTAATGTTGTGACGTCGTAGGTTTGATTTATTTTAATAAACGATTTCCATGTTTATTTATTATTATTGTTTTTAATTTTGG